CCACTCATAGTCATGTTTTATAAAAATATGAACTGTTTTTATCATGTTCTTTAAAAATTATGGTGTTCTTTAAAAGAATGAAAGTAAAAACATTGTTTCTAGAGCGAGTTATCTTTTTAACTTCTGTGATTTCAGAATTTTTATTATTTTTTATTTTTATTTTATCAATTTAAAATTCTAGCTGAAGCATGCCAGTCATTTTTTTAAATTCTGAAATGAGAACTGAAGAATCAGGAGTATTTCTTTCCTTTCCGATGAACAAGAAAAGTATCTTTAGAATAGAATTCTGCAGAAAAAAAGGGAAACATTTTTATTTGTTTTCATATTTTTTTCTGCTATTTTATTGCTTCAACTCTTTCTTTACTCTGTTTTTTAAATTTAAAATCTATAAATATGAAGATGCAGAGTATAACAGTTTTGGTTATACCTTTCATTTCAATTAATGTTGTTATAATGTTTTTTTAAAATTTGGTTTGTGTTGTTTTTGTATAGCTTTGTTAACTCATGAAGAGTTCTTGGAATTAGACCTGATAAAGTCAGGAAAAGCCATGGATTTGAAAATCTGAAACGTAGCAGATACCCTGTACATAATTTCATTTGATATTTGTTGAATTTTTTACAATGAAATGTTCTATTGAATCCAGCAATTCTTAAGCTATCAACTGCTTAAATACTATCAAATGAGTAGGCAATATCATGTTTTAATGAATTTTTAAATTCAGTACAATTTATTTGATATAATTTTATAAAAACCTGGAAATTTTTAAAGAATATCGAAAAAAGAAGAAAAATTAAGCTGGAAGAAATTTTTTTCTGAGCACATAGTTTAAATGACACTTCGTTTGAAATATTTTAGCTTCCTCCATTTTCTTTTGTTTAAAACTTATTTTATGTTTAAAAACATTTATATTGCATTGACATTCACCATTAGTTTGTTAAATTAATAGAAACATATTTTATCTTTACAAATTTTTATATGTGAATTTTCGAATTGCTCAAGGCTATCATTTAATTACAAATCTATCATTTTGTTTTAAGTATCTTACGCTTTTTATAGTTTCAGTTGAAAAGTTATTTTACTTAAACTGTATTTGATTTTTAAACTATTATTAGTTGCCACTGTGCTCACACCAGTGCAAGCTGAAGCTGTTCCTTTTCCTTCGGTTGAAGGACAGCGAGGTCTATATGGTCGTTTTTGTGACTGGATGACTTCTCAATTTTCTGAATTAGTTGAAGACTTTTCTGAGCCTGTTGTCGTTGATGATGATAGCGCAGAAGATGATTCTGAAGGAGATCCTTTGACAGTTTGCAAGTGAGCGCTATTTCTTTATTGCCTTCTATTTATAACAGTTGTATATTCATTTTAGTTATTCAAGAAATTTTATCGGCATAGAGAAAAATATTTTATGCATAAGAAACTTATAATATTTTAAAATGCACCATTAAGATAATAATTTTGATATTGATACGGTTAGGGTGTTCCTTTTTTTCTCTTAGGATTCATTAGTAGTATTTTTCTCAGTGGAACCTGGGGAACATTTTCTTGGTGCACAAAGTTTTGTATTCATCAGCCAAGGTTTATACTTAAAGAGAAAAAAATGTACTTCATCATTTATTTTATTTCTTCTGCAGTTTGCAATTCTATTAAAATTTCCTTATATTAAAATTTCCTAAGTATATTTCCTTCTACTTAATCACAATGCTAACTAGTTATGTAGAAGTGCAAAATCTTGTTTTAATAAAAAATTGCTACATTGCAAAGTAAAATTTTCAGTCATTTGTAGGGAATTTCTGTTTTTTCCTCAGATGCAATTGAGTACAACACTACAAAGTAAGATTTTCAGTTATTTGTAGGGAATTTCTTTTTTCTCTTCAGATGCAATTGCAATTATTTTTTAATTGCAATATCTTCCATTTTTAGAATGTCTTAAATAATAATTATTAATTTCAAAAGCAACTTCATCTCTTAAAAATTTTAAGTACATTTAAAAAGAAAAAGTGCAATGTTCTTGTTTCTTCCTTGCATCCACTTTGATGTGTTTCATTTTGCTGTACGGGATTGAGAAGCACATTCTCAATCACAGGCAATCCTCAAACAGAAAATTAATTTGTCAGCAAGACCAATAATATCTGTAGGATTGTATGGTTTCTCTCTGTTGTGCTTTTATAATTGTCTCTTAAGGGGTGTAACAACCAGGAAACTTTAAATTAGCTCTAAAGTATCTAATACCTGTTCCCTATAACATCTGTTGTGGTTGCTAATTCCCATCTGGTCTGACGGGGTCAGACCAGATCAATGAATCCATTGACATTGAGAAAATCCGAAACCAGAATGGGAGAGGAATGAATATCGTTCCAGTCCAGCCCTAAACAGATCAAGATGTGCTCAGGTGATGCCTGGTTTTGTTGGCATTTAGGGCAAAGAGGAAAGATCTTTTGATTTGCAGAAAATGGGAGACTTTTCAGGTGTCCACAGGCCAGTCGGGATAGGCAGGTGTTGGTTTGCCTGTCACCAGAGAGAGATAGAGAGAGTCCTGGTCTTTTTGATTCATGGGAGGGGGTATGCAGCTTCTGTTGTCCAAAGACCGGAGCACCGTGAGGTAGAAGACTGTCTTGGCTCCTGGTGGTGTTCTTTTTAGTCTGGCACCTACCCTTCGGCCTGTCCGGCTTGGGAGACCCTACCAGTAGCAAGCTACCTCCGGCATAGTCCTCCGGGTCATCCTATAACATCTAAAAAGACTAAATCACAATCATTTCATATTATCTATTAGTTATGATGTGCTAAAACTGGTTGGTAAAAAATTATATGTGTTTAGTAAAATTATTATTCGATATAAACTTTGTCAATTTTGGTATTAACTTTTATGACACATTTGGTATTAACTTTTATGAATTACAAGTCTTCGATTTCAATTTTTTTCTATTTTAAAAGTTTTTATTTTCATGCATATTTTAACTTAATTCTTCTTCTTAAAACTTTTACAATGTTCTATTAATAAACTTAGTTTTTTCTGTATTAGTAAGTCTTTTTTTTTTAAAAAAATTAATATTTTTTAGGCTTAAGGACAACTTAGTGCGATTTAGCAAGTATAATTTCTTTTACTTTTTTGATACCAAGTAAATGAAAGGCTTGAGGCAAAAGAGTGCTAAATCACATTTTTTCCATCTTGCCACTCTAAAGCCTGGTTGGCAGGGCACTGGGCCCATGTCCAAGAGGGGGTGGGTTCGAGCCGAAGACTCCCCGTGTACTAAATGGTGACTGGTGCACATTAAATCTGTCTAGGCACAAAGTCATCCATGTTCCCATAGCAAATCATAACTCTGGGGGTACTGATCCAGGAGTTTCCTTGTCTTCTGGATTGGTTCAAAATTACACGGCTACGGAGTGGAATATTAGCACTCGTAAACCCAAAATTTTGTCGGCTGTTAAATGACGGTTATATATTGACCTCTCAATAAGGTGACCTGGGTTTGAATCCCAGCGATGGCTTGTCGATACGAATTCTTCACTTGGCTTGCACTGACCACAGTGTTGACATAAAATATCCTCAATGGTAGATGGATCATGTGTTACAGTTCCCTTGCTGCCAGGCTAACCATGCAGGGTTTCGTGTTTTTCCTTTCTCAAGTGCGGGTTAGTTCTATCAAAAAGTCCTCCTTGAAAGTAAATTTCTCCCAAAACTTGATTCAGGATTTTCCTTACCTTCTGGAATGTGTTCAAAATAGCAAGGTTACAGAGTGGAACATTTGAAGTCATAAACTTAAAATTGGGGCAGCTGTTCAATGCCAATTTGCCCTTGCCAATTTTGCATCAATGTTGAGAATTGTTTGATTCAAGCATCAATAAAATATATCAAGTATTTTAAAGGAGAAAAATTAGTTTTCCTGTGGGGTTGAAGTGATAATTCTGCAGACATTGGTTTGTGATCCTGTGGTGCCAGGATTGCATTCCCCGACATATACCCTGCTTCATCTAAAATATATCTCGAGCAATATGCTCAGATACATCAACTTGTTTGATGTGATATAACTAGATTCTCATGATTATTATATATTTGGAATTTTTTTAAGAATAAAATTTGCTAAATGCTGCAACTGAAAAGTCAAAAGGTTTGGCTTATTTTGTCACTTTCTAAATAATTCTACTCTCGTGGTAACCTAAACTTTTATCTTGTGTCATGTTAAATATCCAAACATAGAGTCTTTGGGTAAAAGTTATACTAAATTTTCTTTGCTCTTAAATAAGGTGGGGAAAACAGGTTTTTTTTTTTTATACAAGAGAGTCTGCATTTAAAATTTTGCGATAAGCTGGGACTAATTTTCAGAAAGTTAATAGTCAAATCAGAAATTTTTGGTTAGTTATGCAATTAAAATAATTTAATTTGCAATACATTTGAAAATTAAATGAAAAAGTACCATTAAAGTAGTTAGTATGATTTCTTACTATAATTTGCATATGGTTTAGAATAAATTTTCCGTTTATGTTGTTGTGTTACATAGAAATTCTTTTTTAGCCAATGCTACAAAACCTGTCTCTTCTCTTGCTGATAGCTTCGTATCATTGCTACGGTGGAATTCACCAGGAGCAACATTGTTAGCATTTTTTGTAAGTTTACCATTGCTTACCTAATTATTTAAGCTAAGTTTTGAATAGCTGTTTTCACATGTTACGTTGTCAAATGCATTTTGATTATTATTAATGACCCTTTAAAGTAACGACTTGAATGTTACTAAAACAATAAGAATTTTTTTTTAATTTTGAACAAAATGGGCTTCTTTTATAATCATTAACATACTATCCGCAAAACTAGTAAACATAAAACGCACAACATTGAGACATTTCTTTGTAACTGTTATGTAGAGTTTGCAAACTTAACACTATTGGGATATTTTCCTCATAACTAAGCAAAGGACTGATCTTAGATATGAATGCACAACTGGCAGCTACCAAATAGTCAATATTCGGTCCCCCGACCTTCTAAAATTTATTAAGAAACTGCATAACAGGTGTATGAACAATTTATAATTGTTCATCATACTAGTTACGATAATTTTTTATTTTATTGTGTGTAACTTAAAAAAAGAACTTTTTTTATAACATATGCAACTTATTATAATCTAATTTTAATAAAATTTAATTTTATATAATTTAATTTTAATCTTTAGTTTAATTTAGGTAGAAAAGACTATGTGTGCAAAAAATGCTAATTTTTATTAATTTAAAAATTACACATACAATGTAAGCATCTATAATTTGTTATATTTTGTTTTTAAATTTTTAAGACAAGTTGATTTTTTATTGACCGAGGAATAATCAATTAATATTGCAACTCCTGAAAGTTATATTATTTTTCAGAATCCTAACCCCTTAAGAGGGAAAATTCCTAAATGTTTTGGGAGGTGGGAGATAGTTTTAAATTATCTCAGATGATGGCTTACATTCTCTCTTTAAAGCTTTTATTCACGTGCCTTTATGAATTGTTCATTTAGGGGAACCAAATGACGAATACTTCATAAACTACATTAAGTTAAAAGCATTACTTAGATACAAACTAAAGTATGGGTGTTGTTGATTTTGATAATTGATGAACATTACCAATTATCTAGGAAAGAAACTTGTATTGTTTTAAATACTGCAATATACAAATCATGATTTATATAAAAGGAATTAAATAGGCTTTCAAATAAAAATATTCAAATACTTTTTTTTTACATAAAACTTAAAGTATGTTTATTTTTCACTATGAAATAATGCAGATTAATTTTTTTAAAAAAATGTGGATTTTATGAAATAACTGAATGATACAGTAAAAAATGCTTTATTGATGCTTTATCATAAAAGAAAAATATATTATTCATTATATCTTATTAAGTCTTATTTATTGAATCTTATCCTTGTATACATTAAAGTAAGAGCAAATGATGTTCATTATCGTGTGCCCATCACCATTTCTGTATACTTTTTTAGCTTGTTGAGTCAGTTACTAGTGAAAGGTAAGACTGAGTGTCTAACCCAATGTTCAATTATTCTTTATCAACAAACTTGATTAGTTTCTGACTAGTTACTCTGAAAAATAAAAGGCATATTTATTAGCCAGATAAACATATTTGTTAGCCCAACAGGCTAACTACTATAACACCATTTTCATTTGAATTGCACAGATACAAAAACTACACATTTTTGTTTCAATCTCCAGTATATTAATATTTTTAACAGTCAACAAACTTAAAATTGTGGCTGGTCATCTCACTTCCTCATGCTTTATAAGGAAAAATTGTCTTTAGCTGTCAGAGTAGAACATCTGAGCTACTCATTTCTATTAATCTTTTCATAAAAAACTTGTAAATAATATATATTAAGTGTCAAGATAAAAGATAAGTAGATTAATAAATCATTCTAAATGTCAGAAAAGTCAGAGGTATAAATCATTCTGAATGATAGAAAAATCATAAGTACTATTAATAATTTTAAATTGTCTGAATATCATAAGGCTATGTTTGATGGGAAAATGTCCTGTTTATTGTTGTTACTATAGGGAAAGGGACTGGAACTCTTATTTCAATTATTGGTAATATACAATACCTTTATTATAGCCTTCGGGATAGTGTTCCTCTCCCAATGAGGAGACCCTGGTTCAAATCCTGGCAGTGGCTGGTTGATATGAATTCTGCTCTTTTCTCACACTGACTACAGTGCTGATATAAAATATCCTCAGTGGTAGGCAGATTATGGGATAGAATCCCCTTGCCATTGGGCTAACCATGGGAGGTTTTTGTGGTTTTCTTCACCATGTAATGCAAATGCGAGCTAGTTCCCTCAAAAAGTCCTGCCAGAAGGCTAATTTGCCCAAATGCTTGATCCAAGAGCTTCCTTGTCTTCTTGGAACTCCGTCTTCAGAATTATAAGGCTGTAGAGTTGAACATTAACTGTCATAAACTCAGAATTGGGTCAATGAAAAAAAAATACTTTTAAATTTTAAAAGTTTTTCATGGACATATTTCAAGTAATAGTTTGTCGTAGTTATTGTATCGTATAATTTATGTTAATTTTCCATTCTATTTGCATGGGTTGTTTACTTTTTATAGGTTTATATGAATACTGTGTATCATGGTTGGCTTCTTTCCTTGATCCTCATCTTATTTATATCTCAACTAATACTCAACTATATCACGTAAGGTATTCCTTTCTTTCCCTTCTAACACAATCCCATGTAGTTTTTTTTAACTAATCCTTTTTTATGTACACTAACAATGTAAATTTCTTACATCCATTTTTTTAATGAAATGTCAAATTTTGTATGTAAAGAAAGTTTCATTATTCTTGTGCTGAAAATATTTAGCTGCATGTTAAGTCATTTTGGTATTTATTATTGTAAGTGAACTTCACAGAATATTAGTTAATATTCTGTTAAAAATTTAATTATTTTGTTCGCTATCAATAGTTTTGTTTGCATAATATGGTTGTAATCTGCTCAATATGTTAAATTCGAATTGTGATGAAAAAAGAATGATCTCTTCTTTTCATGTTAGATTTCTTTTTCAATAAATAGATATTATTAATTCTTGGAACATAAATATAAATTTGCTCTGAAATTAAGAATCTTAACTTTTTATAAAAATGGCAGTTAAAGAAATTCATTTGTCTGTAAAAAAAATAAAAATAATCTATAGAAGTCCCAATCAAATGGAAAGGTGATTCAATTATTTTATTTTCTTATTTATTGAGTAACTTAATGTTTTTGAATATTTTTTATTTTATTTTATTCTTTGAAATATTTTCGATTGAATTAAATTTTAAAATTGTAAGTATTTGAAAACTTTTTGAAAGTTCAAGCTTTAAAAATGCTTACAAATAAAAAAAAGAGCATTTAAAACTTATTTGCTTAATTAATTGAATCACATTTTAATTAATGCGTGAAATGAAACAAAAAAATTCAAAAAGACTACTTTGTTCCCTAATGAATATGCATGAAAAAAGTTGTGATTCAACTTGTATTGAAATTGATTGAATAAATTTCACATTTTCTCAATTTTTTTTCTTAAAATAGTTATGTCGACATTTTTCTATAGTTGCATAACAAATTCTACTATACTTTGCATGGATTAGATCTTTAGAATGTATAAAAGTTTTATTTTTATATTTAAACCAAAAGAAATAATATTGCTACTTTGCTTAAAATAGTGATTTTGATTTATGTGACACTTGCGGACATTTTTTAACTCAATAATTTAAATATTTGTGAAAATGTTTTGACAAACATGAAATACATACTAAGCACACTTCTCTGGTGGGTAGCATGTAATGAAAAATTTCATTGAAGAATTATAAATAAAGATTAAAATCAGTAATAGTAATTATAATATGAAGGTACTGTCCACTAATGAAGCATTAAAATGCTCCCCATTCATATTTTCGTAAAAAAAAAAAAAAAAGAAAACTGAAATTACTTTGAAAAACTTTTTTGAGCAAACAAAAGTGTATATATGACCAATTTTTTCCTGTTTTTGTACATTCTCTTTGGACAAATAAAGCAACTGAAGACAATTTTTGTTCTACAAATTATTCAATGACTAATGCCGTATAAATGCAGAATTATTTTTAAAGTTACACATCAAAGGTACAGTTATCTTTAAAATTATGCATACAGCTTGCAAAACTGAAAACAAAAATAAAGAACTCAATTTAAAAAAAATAAATAATTTTCTTCCTTATTTTGATTACACTTTATCAATTATTTCAACAAAGATTTCCTGGATATCTCTTCTTTGACATTATCTCTGAATTTCAGAATCTGATTAAGTAGATGCTCGAACATTATTTAACATATTCTTTGTATGCAACATTTTTGAGTTATATAAATTGTAGATTAACTATGTATTCCAAAAATGGGTCTTTTTGAATACATGTTCATTGCTAGTTTTTAAGTAGCCATTTATTCTGGATCAAAAATTCATAAAGTTTAATACGGTTTAAAAAAAAATATACTAAGTTGCATCGAAAAAAAAAACTTCTAAGACAAGTATATTTGATGATTGAAAATATTTTGATACAAAATAATAATTATGCTGATATTCAGCAATTATGTGGATAATTGTAATGTGGTTCTTCATATCTGTTGCATCTTTGCACAATTCGTAGAGCAATAATAAGTAACAATAATATGTGAGTTGGGCAATATTTGGAAACTTATTTTAACACATTTCTGGGTTTTTGTGGTTTTTCGCTCCATGTAAAACAAATGCAAGTTAGTTCCAGCCAAAAGTCCTTCACGAAATCTAGGTTCTTGATCTAGGAGTTCCCTTGTCTTCTGAATTGGGATCAAACTTACAAGGCTATGGAGTTGAATATTGATAGTCATAAACTCAGAACAGTGTGGGCTATACAACACTGGTTATAAAGTAAAAATATGCTGAACAACTATTGAATATTCTTATGGTGCAGCAACCTTAATAATTTTCATTTGTTCAATAGGCTGAATTTGTGAAAATTTTTGCAAAATGTTTTACATTTGTACTACTATTAGGTGTACATTTAAGAAGCCACTGTCTCAAAATATATTTTTTATACTCTTCTTCTTTATTTTGTAGAGTCTTTCCTGTATATATGTAATGGTTTCCAAACATACTTTTACTTCTTTTTGCATCTATGTTTAATTATGGACTTAAAATTTAAACCTTTTTCCCGAAATTTTATTTTATTTTTTATTCTGTTATGTTTTCTTTCACCTTGAAAGACACTTGATTTTAAGCATAGAACACATTTCGAATGCTAAACTATCGTGAAAATATTGTAAAAGGAATAAAAAAATATTATAATATAAAAAAACTAATTTTCCAGGATTTTTCGAGTTTGTAAGCATTATTTGAAATTTCCCAAATAAAAAAAATTATTTTTATGTAAAGAATTCTTTAATATATCGAAAAAAACATTAAATAAATAATATATAGTAAAAAAAAACAGAAGAAAAAAATATTAAAAATTTAAAATTAACCTCTGCTGGGGATCGAACCCGCACCCCATCGCTTACGGCAGAAGTCACTATCACGCATCCTTAGCCGTTGAACCACGTTTTCACGAAGCTCGGGCTACTACATTGCTTCAAGTACCCTTTCCCGGTGAGCTAAAGAAAAGACTAAAGGGGCGTTTGCAGCCCCCCTAATACGTCTATAAAAATTTTCCTTTGTAGGGTGGCTATGCTCATAGAGGCCAATTTTCAGTCCGAGTTTGAAATGTATAGCTTAATAATAAAGGGAGTTAGATGGACTTAAAATTTGAACCTTTTCCCGCCATTTTTTTTTTTTTTTTCTATTTTGCGTTCTTTCACCCAGAAACACACTTGATTTTAAACATAGAACACTTCTGGGATGCTAAACTTTCGTGAAAATATTGTAAAAGGAGTAAAAAAAAATATTATAATATAAATAAACTAATTTTCAGGGATTTTCCCAGTTTTTAAGCATTATTTGAAATTTCTCAAATAAGAAAAATTATTTTTTACACGTAGGATCCTTTAATATATCGAAAAACACATTAAATAAAAATGGAAAAAAACAAAATAAAAAAAATAAAAAATTGACCTCAGCCGGGGTTCGAACCTGCAACCCCTCGCTTAGGCCGTAAGTCACTGACATGCAGTCTTTCAATGCCCACCACTTTTGGCAACATATGGTACGTGACAGGCACTATTGTTTATTTAAGTTTTGTGGGTCCCATTAAGGTGAATCAACGTCACCCCTAAAAGGACAGATAGATTTCATCAATGCACAAAGCGGGATTCGAACCCAGTTCCTTCCAGGTACAAGCCCAATTACAGCGTGGTCAACACTTTAAAAAACATAAAACACCATATTTGAAATAATTTATGAACACAGAAACTGTTCAACACGAACAGTTTCTGTGTTAATAAACTCGATTAAAAGCACAATAAAATTGGACATATATCCAAATTTTAGTACAGTTAGTAATTTTACTACAAAAAAATTATTTTTATTCATAGGATCCATTAATATATCGAAAAACATATTCAGTAAATAATTTAATGTAAAATAAACAAAAGAAAAAAAATAAAAAGTTTTGAAAATTGGCCATAGCCGGGGTTCGAACCCACACCCCCTCGCTTAAGGCGTAAGTCACTAGCACACGGTCTTACCTGCTGGACCACGTTTATACGGGGGATCGTGCAACTACATAGCTTCAAGTATCCTCTCCCGGTTAGTTAAAAAAAGACTTAAGGAGCCTTTGCAGCCCCCCCCCCTAATTGGTATATAAAACATCGGCTCATCGAAGACAAATTTCGATCCTAGTTTGAAATTTATAGCTTAATATTAAACGGAGTTAGATGGACTTAAAATTTGAACCTTATTCCCGCCATTTTATTTTATTTTTTATTCCATTATTCCTTCTTTCACCCAGAAAGACACTTGATTTCAAACACAGAACACATTTCGCTTGCTAAACTATTGTGAAAATATTGCAAAAGAAATTTAAAAAGATAATATAATAAAAATAAACTAATTTCCCGGGATTTCTCGAGTTTTTAAGCATTATTTGAAATTTCACGAATAAAAAAAATTATTATTATTTATAGGATTCTTTAATATAACGAAAAACACATTAAATAAATAATATAATGTAAAATAAACTAAAGAAAAAAAATAAAGAAAGTTTAAAAGTTAGCCTCAACCGGGAAGAAAAGAAAAAAATATAAAAAATTTAACTCTGTTGGGGATCGAACCCGCACCCCATCGCTTCAGGAGGAAGTCACTAGCACGCGGTCTTAGCCGTTGAACCACGTTTACACGAAGATCGGGCTAATACATCGCTTCAAGTACCCTTTCCCGGAGAGCTAAGCAAAAGACTTAAGGGGCGTTTGCATCCCCCCTAGTAGGTCTATAAAAAGTTTCCTTTCTAGGGTGGTTATGCTCATAGAGAACAATTTTCAGTCCGAGTTTGAAATTTATAGCTTAATAATAAAGGGAGTTAGATGGACTTAAAATTTGAACCTTTTTCCCGCCATTTTATTTTATTTTTTATGCTATTATGCGTTCTTTCACCATGAATGACAATTGATTTTAAGCATAGAACACATTTCGAATGCTAAACTATCGTGAAAATATTGTAAAAGGAACAAAAAAATATTATAATATAAATAAACTAATTTTCCTGGATTTTTCGAGTTTGTAAGCATTAT